ATTATTATGAAAAAAAATATAAAATAAAAATTATTAAAGGAGAGAGTCTTAACATCAAATGATTATTTTTCATCGTAGAGTTTTATTTTATAATTTAATATAATTTAAATCATAAAATATTTTTTTATAAAATTAATGGTGCTTTTAATTAATTTATGATGTCATCCTGTGACTCATACTTCATTGTTGATGACGTTTTATGAAAGATTTGTGCATAAAAGAGCAATGCTAGGGGCACTCGCTTTTGGCCGGCCAACACTTTCCCTTTCATTGGACCACTTAAGCTTCTGTAAAAGGCCTTCAGGCGCAACTTCTCGGGAACCAAGATAACGTGGCCCAATAAAAGAGAAAGTGTTGACCGGAGTGCAAAAAGCGAGTGCCTCTAGCATTGCTCTTGCATAAAAATAATAGTTAATCATTCATTTAAAAATCCAACCCTTGGTGATCAGCTCCTCCCTCTCGTTTTAAAAAAAAATTATTCATTTAAAAAATTGAAATTAACTATTATTATAAAAAAATATAAAAAAAAAATTTTTAAACAAGAGAGTCTTAACATCAAATGATTTATTCTTCATTTTAGAGTTTTATTTTATAATTTAATATAATTTAAATTATAAATCTTTTTTAAAAAAATAATGTTGCTTTTAATTAATTTATGATGTCATCCTACTGAGTCATACTTCATCGTTGATGACGTATTATGAAAGATATGTGCATAAAAATAATACTTAATCATTCATCTAAAACATAAAAAATATAAAATAAAAATTCTTAAACAAGAGGCCTCAACATCAAATGATTTATTATTCCTTTTAGAATTTTATTTTATAATTTAATATAATTTAAATAGTAAGATATTCTTTTAAAAAAATAATATTGCTTTTAATTAATTTATGATGTCATCCTAGTGACTCATACTTCCTCGTTGGTGACGTTTTATGAAAGATACGTGCATAGACTTTACCGTGTATGCTTTTTTTTTTTTTTATGAACTACTCGATATCTGAAAATTTATTGGATCATCAATTAATTTTGATTTGATCTAATTAGGATTCAACGAATGGTAAAACCCTTTCTCACGAGTTTTAATGAAATTGCATTTTCAAGACTTAAGACCAAGACCTCTAATTAAATTGAAAGAATTCCCTACCAACTTATCCATCCGCTCATGGGTTGTGTATACCTAATTATGAGCCACAAAAATATTTTAGATAATTAATACAATGTTAGTTCAAGAGAAAAAAAAATTTAATTTTTTAAAATAAAATTTTAAATTTAAGATTTGTGAATGAAAAAAATAAGAGAAAAAAATTTATTTTTTAAATAAAATTTTAAATTTAAGATCTATGAGTGAAAAAAATAAGTGTCGAAAGAATTTATCTCTTTATGATATTCGATTCTAAATTAATTAAGATTTCGATACGAAAAGTTAGTAAATAAAATATATTTTGGATAAATTATACAAATGGTCATTGACTTTTATCATAACTTATTTCGTCACTCTTCTATTAAATTTGTAAATTTAGTCACTCACTTTTGTTTTAATATGCCTATTTAATCAGTTCACGTTATCTCCCTAAATGCCGATTATCTCCCCAAAGGCTATTAGCTAAGGTCACCAGAGGGCGTGGGCCAAGTAGAAATTTGATAACTAATTTAATTAAAAGTATTTTATTAAATGATGAGATTAAAAAATAATTTCATTAAAAATATTATAACAGTTTCAATAAATGTAATTTGATATGTAAAATATAAATTTCATTTAATTATAAAACATAACTTATCAAAAAATGAAAAAATAAAAAATGAAAATGGATTATATGTATAATCACTTAAATAGGCTAATAAAAAAATATAATTTAATCTCAATCCTCATGGGTATATAATTAAATATGAAGCAATATATTTTATTTTGCTTTATTACTATTGCAAAGAGTCAATACATCATATCTTTTTTATTAAGTTTTTAGTCATTTTGCAAATTCAATAAGAACATTTATAGGTGTGGTTATTATCACTATTAATATTGTTAAGATCACCAAAATCTTAGGGCTTTTTTAAACAATATTTGAAAATATAAATTTGTTTACTGATTTAAACTTATAATCTAATAAACATTAATTGTTCCCTCAATTATTAGTTAATATTTATAGTTATTAGCCATTTTTATTAGTTAAATTAAACAAAATCATATTTTTAAAGATAATATTTTACAATTTTAGTAACCATACATTACTGTTCCGGATATCTATCATAAAAAAATATCTTTCTGATCAATCTATAGCCCTATGTATTATTCTAAGAATAAAAATAAAAGTGTTAGCAAAATATTAAATAATTGGTGTATAATTTTGCAAAACAAAAGTATACTCTAATTTTCCTACACTTAAACAAATTTGAGGCACCAAGTCATTAATTTTTTCTTGGTCCAAGCCATTTTGTCATCTCACTTAATGGCATTTGGGGATATAACGGAGGGTGATTAACAGAGGACATTAAAACAAAGGTGAGTGACTGCATTTATAAATTTAAAAGGAGAGTAACCAAACTGAAAGTTATAAAAAGGTCAGTGACCATTTGTGTAGTTTACCCAAATATTTTTGTTACTCAAGCGGATAAATCATAGAAGTACATATCGAACATGCATATGATATTATGATGACATTCCTATAATTTGTGGAAAGAACCAAGAATGCGATTTTTATTTTTGAATTGAAACCTGGAAATGGCAGTAGTGAAGGACATGGTTTAGTGGGAAGTGGGTACCTTGATGGAATCGTAAAATTGTTGGTTGCTAAGTCTTTAAAAGAAACGAGTAAAAAAATCTTTTCTACCAACAAAAAAAGAAAAAAAAACGAGTAAAAAAATCTTTTTGGGTATGTTCGTTCGGAGGGATTTTTTTTTTATTAATTTTTCGATATCCGATAATCATATTGGATCTTAAGTAATTCAAAATCAAGTCATGTCAGATTTTATTAAAAAGAAAGCTTTTTTAGCACTTGTTTCTCCATTCATAAGATTGAACTCGAGATCTTGATTAAGGAAAACCGAATTACTTTCATTCGGATCAACATATGAGATTTTTTTCTTTTTCTTAAGGTTTTGTTAGTAAGTAATTTTTTTTTCTTTTGAGTTTTGTAAATATTTGAAAGAAAAATGATAAACTCTTTAGTAGTTGAAAGTGCTATAATTTAGTTTATTACGTATAGACTACATTGTTTTTAATAATTAATAGAGAAATGAGTCTTTAATATTAAAGAATTTATTTTTTTATTAATAATTAATTTTGTAAGTATTTTTCTTGCAAAATATTATTTCTAATTAATTAATGATGTCATCCTAGTGACTAATAACTTCATTATTGATGATGTTTTATAAAAGATGTGTGCATAGACTTTGTCGTGTAGACTTAATTACAAGCCACAAAAAATATTTTTGTTACTCAAGAGTAAATCATCAGAAGTACATATCAACATGCATATGACGCACCTATAATTTGTGGAATGAGCCAAGACTGCGCTTTTCACTTTTTAATTGAAAGCTGGAAATGGCAGTAGTAAAAGCACATGGTTATGTAGTGGGAAGTGGGTGCCTTGATGAAATCGTAAATTTGTTGGCAGTGGAAAAGGACATGGTTGAATAGTAGGAATTGGGTACCTTTACGGAATCGTAATTTTGTTGGTGGCTAAGGGCGGTTTGGTGGAACTTTTTGTAATTTTTATCTTTTATATATGATTTATAAATCATAAATTTAAATTTTTATTAGAGAAAAAAATTTAAAATTTAATTTTAAAAATAATAAAAAATAAATAAAAAGTGAATAAAAAATTTTATAAATAGTAAAAATTAAAAAAATTTTAAAAATCATTGTTTAAAATCTTTTTAAGATTAAAAAAAAATAAAAAATATAAGTTTTTAAGAAAAAATTTTTAATTTATGAAATATAAATAGTGTAAAAAAAACTAAAGCATTTACAAATTTTACCAAATATATTCTAAGTTTTTAAAAGAAAAATAAAAAATTTCTGTAGGATCTGTTTGTTGGAGGTGGGTTTTCATTTTTTGCTTAAGGTTTTGTAAGTAACTTTCTTTCCCTTACGGTTTTGTAAGTAATTTTATTTACTTTCGATTTTCGAAATATTTGAAAGAAAAATAAAATTTCTTAAGTAGTTGAAAATGCTGTGGTGTAGTTTGTCTCATGTAGATTGTATTACTTTAATTATTAGTGAAAAAATAAGTTTTTAATATTAGATAGTCTGT